GATCAACTCAATTAAAGGTTAAGACTCTCTTTTTTTTTTGTGGGCAAGACCCCCTTTCCTCACCCTGCCAACAAAGTCTACTAGTGTCTTGGAAAAATGTGAGATTTCCTTCTGGGAGTAGGCAGAGAGGAAAGAGCAGTTGCTGAGCATCTTCCTCCTCCCCGTTTTGTTTAATACAGTTTATTCATCTGTAAGTTGTAGTGAGTAACTTACAGCTACTCTCTTGCCAGACTGCATGAATTATAGATGGCTCTTTTATGAGTTTTCATGTTGACTCCTGCAATTAGTATGCATCGGACATAGTTATCTGTATGGCATCTACTGTAGCGTAGGTTTCAGCCTTTCTGACTTTTTAATTGCTTTCTGTTTTAGCAATCAGTCATCTGTCTGTCTTGGTAAGGAATGCAAAGAGAACATAAGAAGCTTGATAGAAACTTAGAGTTCAGTGTGGAGCAGCAGGTTTGAAATGATGTGCTTAAGGGGAGGGAAAAATGACATATAGAGGGTCTTTGTTGTCTCTTTTTTCTGCGTGCGTGTGTGCTTCAATAGGGTCAGAATGTCCCACCTACTTCTGTGTCCCTGTGTGAGGTGAATGTCTCAGGGGGCTGTGCTTGTACTGCAGTTTATGCCTGTAGTTTAGGCATAAACTTCATGATTCCCAAGACATGTAGCACTTGAGAGTGTGATTTAGGGTTAACACGATGGTGCTGAGTTAATGCTCAGACTTGATGGTCTTAGAGGTCTTTTTCAACCTTAATGATTCTGTGATTGTCTTTCGTGTTATATCATCTTAACAAAGATCATCAGACCTGCATGGATCTTTGCATGTGTGAATGTACTCTGAGATTTTGGATGCCACTCTTGACCCCTGTGGGTGCTGTCTTCTGTTCAATTCTTCTGCTTGTTCTGTCTTCTGCCTGTCTTTTTCCTGTCTGCAGAAGTGTTTTGTAAGAGTCAAAGGAGAGTTTGTCAGGTTTGCTGTTGGACTCTGTTGGGTCTGGGACAATGATATGTAGCTAATGGGCTGCAAAAGTTGATGGGAAGGGATGGGGGTGCATTGAAGGCAACTATAACTTGACTACAGCAGTCACAGATTGCAGTATGTAATAAAACTTTTCATGATTGCTGCGTGCTGAAACAATTCAAACTTTCAATACTCCCAAATGTCTGCAGAAACAATAGTCCTACATTACAGCTATGCCTTCCTAGTGGTGTCTGTGGAGTTTGGTTTGAGTGCTGGTATTTTAATATATATAGTAGTTGAGAATAATTGTGTCTGCAGCTAAAATGTATTCCCTCATCTGACTCTGGTTGAAAAGTTCATGTGCTGTTTCATTGCTTCCACTGCTCACTTAATCACACCATGGAAACCTAAGATGGATTTCTCAAGGCAGAGTCGTGCTGGTGTGAAGAAGGAAATAACTCAGTGCTGCAGTGATGCTTTGCATTCCTGTTGGAATGGACTGCGCTGAGCAGAGTGACTCATTTCAGTGGCCTAGCACTGATGTTCTGCTGGCTGGGGAAGTGATTGCCTGGTGCTCTGAATTTGAGCAGCGCCTGCATGAGGGGGTTTGTTTAAAGCCTGCTTAAATGTGAATTAGCAGGAGATTATTTTAGGAAAAAGAGAATTTGCTTAACCAGCTGGGCTGCAGTGGGGGAGATGGCTACTTCTGTAACCACTTGCCATGGCTCTGGGGTCCCAGCTCTGACTTGGGGGGTGTAAGAGGGGGTTTCATCTGCCTACTTTGAAGCGATAGAAACTCAAAGTATAACAATGTCGCATTTGACCTCTGTATTGCAGTGGGAGGATTCACTTAAGCAGGTTTTTGGTTTTCCCTTTAAATACATAGTGGCACAGGGCTTTTGGGAACCTTCTAGTGCTGCTATTACAGCGGATAACTTCTGTGGAGTAAGTCTCTTAGTTTTGTAGATCAAGGGATCTCTCAAATCCCTCATCTCCAAACAGCTCATGTCACTCCAAACACAAGACTTTGATGAAGAGAAAGGTCTGTGAGCGTAAGTGATGGAGGCAAAATGGGAGCTGTACTATAGGCTTTGCCTACAGCAAAGGTGCAGTTATCAAATAGGTGTGAAACAATATTGTTTGTAAAACCATGTAACTTCTCAGCAGTAACTTGCTCTTTCAGGGAGTAATGTAAGATAAACAAGAGCTTGTACTGCCAGTTTCTGTCCCTGCGGTAAAACAGTAATTCACTTGTGCACTACCCTTTCTAACTGAGGGATTTTGAAAAACTTTCTTATATTGAAGAAACTGAGAGCAGATGTTGCTGGGGTTTTGCAGTGGTGGAACTGAGAGGGAGGATGCTTGATACCCAGAGATTTTTCTTATACTCTTTATTTTGGAGGTTTTTCCTTATGTTCTTTTTCTTTCCCCCAACACTTGACCAGCCTCTCCCTGTAATCTGGGTGTTTTGTTTTTTTTTTTTTAATTCGTCTTCTCACTTCTTTCTCTCTAGCCTGGAGCCACATCCTACTCTATTATAGTCTCATCCAGCCCCTAACTTAGTAAACTTTACTCTTAGTAAAATACTCTTAGTCCCCTGCTTAGTTTTGTGCCTCTGGCAGCAGGTGTACTGACCTCTCTGCTCAGTAGGAGAGGGACCCAGAAATGAGTCAGTCTCCATCCCAGCCATGCCTGCAGCTCCAGGAAGTCTGGTTGATGGGGGAATCTTTGGATGCATCTTTATTCAAACCCCTGTGGGGTAAGCCAGGGTGTTAGAGCAGCAGATGTGCCACTCCTCGGGAGCTCTGTTTGGCAGGCACAAGGCTGCTAACATTCCTTTTCCTTCTGCTTCCCTGTCTGCAGTATATTCCTAGCACCTTCCTGGCAATTTGTTTTCTTGTAGTTACATAAAATCAAAGCGGAGAATTAATCTCTTATGAGACACTGTTGCTGATGTTGTTTCAACTGGTTTGTGCCAGTTCAGTTCCAGCCACTGACACTGTGATGTGCAAATCCCATCAGGAAGGCCTCAGTATCTTCATGTTTCACAGGATACTTGTGCAGCAGTGGCTGCCAAAATTTTTTGGTTGGGTTTTAGCTTAGATTTTTTTTCCACTGCTTAGGCAGGAAGAGTGTTCATTTGCACCAACCACCTCATGGCTGGCACTCCAGCTGTCAGTTGTGTTGTGTTTTATACCCAAGAATGGCATGAGGCTGAAGGGTGTGTGGTGGGACATGCACAGGGCACATGCGAGGACACGCCCAGACAAGTGCACAGATAATTTCCTCCCTACCCCTCCCAAATGCCAGAACCATTGAAATCAATCCCCAAACGCTAGTCTGTCATTTAATATTCCATTGCATGGCTGTAATGGATGGAAAATGGGGCTAGGGTCAGACCTTTTACAAAATTCCCTGTGTGTGAAGACTTGCCCAAAGCCTTACAGGCTGTGCAACACTGCCAGCCCTCCCATTTAAGGGTGATTGTGAAGAAACCGGGAATCAATCAAGTGGAAGTGAAGGTGGAGCCGCAGGCCAGCCATGGCTTGGCAGGTGACAGGGAAACACTGCTCTCGGCAAAACCTGGCACATTGCTGCTGGGTGACTTCTGTGGGCAGTGTTTGCCTGCCTTAGCTCCCCACAGCAGTGAGAGCAGTGTGCTCTGGGTCCAAATCTTGCCAGTTACGCTGAGGATCAGTAGCTTGGCTGAAGAAGACTCTGAAGGCTGGCTGGGTGCTGTGTGGCCGTAGGACTGTGCTGGTGGGATCTGTTTGGAGTGTGACTCAGTGTCACACAGAGTCCAGCCTAGGGAAAGTGGCTCCCTGGCAGTCAGCAGTGATCTCAGCTTTGTAGTTAGACTTCTTACTTGCAGAGAGCAAACAGCTTCTGACTTTCTGCCACCCTGTAATTCTCCCTGAGTGAAACATCTTCCCTTACTGCCTGCGAAATTGGTAAAGCTGTTGAATTGCTTTTTCCACCCAAACAGAAGCTGTTCCCACTTTGGTCTTTATTCAGCAGTTAACTCCCAACTTACTCTTGAAAGAAAACATAGTGCAGATGAATTCCAGTTTCCAGAAGGATCTTGCTGCAGCCGGGCTGTGCCTGGAGTAATGCTGATCTCATTTGGGTGGAACAAGCTAGTTGCTGCAGAATAATCTATTACCCTGTTCCCAAGCTTCCGTCTTTAAATCTGCACAGCAGGGATTATTTACTTATGGATTTAAGTGTGTGTTTGGGATCTAGTTTTATTTGACCCTCCCATCAGAACAAAATGCAATCAACTTCCTGGCAGTTGGAGTTGCTCCTGAAGTGTGCTGCTACTGCAGAAAGGCCAGGGCTGGCTTGGCACAACCAAGGGCCATGCTGCTGCATCTGAGGTGACGTGGGTACAGCTCAGGGCTTCCTGGCCACCTCTGCCTCTGAACCCACTCAGCAGCTTTTTAGCAAAGGAGCCTGAGCATTTGTATCAAAACTCTGAGTACAAACTTTAGTCTCTGTATCGTGCTGTGCTGGAGACTGATGCAAACCTTCTGAGATAGTTTTTAGGAGAACTGGCATGGATCTGAGAGGTATTATTAGCTCAGCAGCTTGTTGGCTCCTCTCGATTATCTTTATCCTTTGCTACTTCATATCTACCTTCCCACTCTGCACTTCTGCTCCATGGTTTTCTTGAGAATTGATTGTATCCAGAAACAGGCTTTTCTCAGTGATCAATAACTCAAATGCTTGAACACAGTCTTATGAACAGAAAAAAAAGAAAAAAAAACTTGGATCCTGAGTAGAATTTGTGCTGACACAAATTTCTGTGCTGGGTTTGTGTTGCTGTCATTATCCCTGGAAGTGTTCAAAAAGCCTGTGGATGTGGTGCTTGGGCATATGGTTAATGGTGAACACAGCAGTGCTGGGTTACTGGTTGGACTGAGGTTGCAGGTCCATCTGCAAATATCTGCTTGTGATTTGCTTGATAGTGTGTGGTTCTAGTCTACAATAAATAAAAAATTGCAGCTTCTAACTTGTTTTCTTTTCCAATTTCCAGTAACGGACTCCCCAACTGAAGATGTCTAACAATGGAGTTGAAACAGAAGACAAACCACCTGCTCCTCCAATGAGAAATACCAGCACTATGATTGGCTCAGGAAGCAAAGATCCCGGGACTTTAAACCATGGCTCGAAACCTCTGCCTCCCAATCCAGAAGAAAAGAAGAGGAAGGATCGATTTTACCGATCTATTTTGCCAGGAGATAAAAGTAGAGTGTTTTATCTCTTCTAATAAACCTGTCTGAACATTCCTCTGCTTGAACACAGTCAAGCACTTGATGCTTAGTGATGGTTGAGGTTTTAGAAAAAGTGTGTTTGTTTCCTGCGCATCTGTCTTGGTCATTTCACATTGGCAATTGGTGGAGAGGAGAGGGAGGTCTTTTGCTTGTTTTGTTGTTTTAAACACCAAATAATTTGAATTATACAAGATTAAGATGCAATCTCTTACTAGACCTGTCATATTTTGCCTTGTGGCCATTTACTGTGTTCTAATGTCTGGGTCAGGCACTATCTACTAGCTTTTAAGAACAATCTATAACTAAAAACTCTTGCATATTTCTTGAGCGCTGAAGTTTTTAATTTTCAAGGGACTGTAACAGATGGAAAAAGAGATAGGAACTGTGAACTGTACATGAAATTCTAATTCTTAGGATGAGGATATTTTAAAAAAATCTCTCATATGAATCTTTTGAAGTGATGCAAAAAAAAAAAAAAGAATTCATCCCCTAATATGTGCTGGTTTCTTTTTATATCTGACCTATTTTTTGGAGTTCCTCTTCGTAATACATCAGCTTTTTCTGTATTGCAATGGTTTCTAAGCACTTTGTAACTAAAGTCAAGACTAAATATCTTCAACTCCCTGGGCTTCAGGGGGGAGGCTGTCTCTTAATTTTTATTAGTGAAAATACTGACTGAAATGATAACTTCACTAATTTAAATAAGCATGGTGGTGGATCATTTTCTACAGAATGAATGTGGCATTCATTAGTATTATTCTTATCTGATCCTTTTGGCAACTTTGGATTGTTTTACAAGTGTGGGGATTTGAACCTGGAGTCAAGAAACCTGTGAATTCAGTGTTAACAGTCTGCTAGGTCTGGGTTAGAACTTGTAATTATGAGTATGAATCCTAAAAAAAGTGGCAGAATTTTTGTGTTGGCTTACTTAAGGGAGGATGGGTTTTTAAATCTCCAGGATCAACTGTTTCAGAGATCAAAGAAATCACCTGAAACTTGTAAAAGAGTAAAAGAAGTAGAACCTGAAATGCTGGTTTGAATTGGATTATGAAGGAGAACTATGAACAAGGAGAAAAATGAAGGTTTGGGGAAATTTAGCAGACAGACTGCTACTGATCTGAAGCTGCCTATGTTTACTGAAGATTGGCCAACATGGCAGATGCTTCAAGACATGAGAGATTTTTGTTTAGCCAAGCCCAGCAGAGCCTTCTGTTGCAATACACCTGCCCAAACGAGAATGGTTGCTTCTGTCCTCTAATTCCTGTTGAGCAAAAAATTCATTTTAATGCTGTGACCTTCAAATTGGTTGATTTATGTCTTATGAAAACTTCTTCTAGTCTCATGATGGCAGCTAAATTCCTAGTGCATCATGCTGCCTAAATGCAGGGAAATTCTTCAGTGTTCAGACACTTTGGTTTGTGCCTGAGATAATTTTGGGTGTTCAGTTTGGCTGAACTTAAAGGGAAGTTGGTTTCCACTCAGTTAGAGGAAAGTAATTTTGAGCAAATCTGTGCTAGCCCTGTACAGAGCAGAGGTGTTGTGTAAGGGATACAAAGGGGCATAAATCCAGGGCCTCATGCATGTTTGCACACTTGCATTGAGCTATACCTCTTGCCAGGCCGCTCTGGAGGTGTTATGCTCTGCCTGCAAAATTTAGGAAGTAATTTGTAGTCCCGATTTCCTCTGCCCAAGCCTAAACCACAAACCTGGTATTTAAAAAACCTGTTGGCTTAATACTGGGTGGGTCCTGCCCAATGGGATGTAGAGCCTGTGTGACTTGTTGCTCTTAGCAGGACTTGTGAATTTTTTAATTTTCCTGGGCTCAGGGGACTCATCCCAATTTATGGGATGCTGTTGTATCATGGTTTACTAATGTTTAGGCTTTTAGATGTGTTAGATAAAAAAACACCTAAGACTTCTGGATAACAACTTAATGCCCTTAAGCTTTTATAGGAATATGTTCAACTCTGCTGTGGCAGCCACCCTGGACCATGTGTGGGTGTTTGTTGTCCATGCAGAACTCTTGCATAGTGATGCTGGTAGAGGTGTCCTCTTCTTCCTCACCTGAGCAATGGGCTTCTAGGCTGAGATGGCACCTCAGTCTTTGGCTTGGAAGAGTGGACTGATCCTGTAGGCAGACCTATGGAATATGGTGGCTCTGATGGCACTCCCTGCACCTCTTTGCCTCTTGCTTTCCATCCAGTGCTAGTGCATGCAGCAGCCTCTGTGCTGCAGATGCTCACCATCTGTTAGCCAGCAGCTGCTCCTGTCTCCTCCTCACTCCCTTCTCAGGGATGGCTCCTCCAGCGTGGCTCTTTTCCCCTTGGCAACTCTGTTGCTCCTCTGTGACTCAGCTTCCCCCGTTCCCTTTGTTTGAAAGAGGGATCAAAAACAATCTGTTCCATCTTCATGTCCCAAATGGAGCATCTGATCCTTTTCTTTCTCCAAAATTGCTCTGTACAACTGTAGCTCTGTAATGATACAGAGAACAGTGCCGGAGCTGGTACTGAAGGAAATGGGATTCAGTCCTTTGGGGCCACCCCTGAGCCTATCTACACAACCAACCACAGCAGTGTCTTAAAGAATTGCTACGCTGTGTGTTAGCCTTGCAGGCTTCTCAGATACCTGGGGTTTGGCATTTACATTGCCAAAAGTGCACTGGGGAATGTCAGCCACAAAACAAATTCTGTTTGGCATTGGATAAAAAAGGGGAGCAGCTGGGAAATGTAAGTGGTTTGCTCACCTTCTCCTGGCTCCACTATAAGCAGCATAAATATAAGCAGCAGCAAAGCTGACTAGAATGTGGTTCTTGCTTAAACTAATCTCAATTTCTTGAATACAATAAATACTAAAAGGAAGGTGGAGTCCTTAATGCATAATGAATATGGATGAACTTAATCCAGTACATAATGATAATCTTGTGTGAAGACCTCAGTTTAAAATTTGCAGGGTGCACCTACTTTGATCTATTTCCTTCCCTGTTTCTTTATGACTTCAGCTTCTCACCTGCCAGATTCTGCCATCTTGCTCGTGTCTTCAAAGCTGGTTATTAAAAACATCTGTAGTTCATTTTGTCAGCAAAAAAAAAGAAGTGCTTTCACTCATAAGATTTTATAGCAGAATCCTGCATTATATTTAGGTTTCTTCATAAACTTTTGAGAAAATAGGATGAAGGAAGCAATTTCTAAGCAGTATTTGTAGTTAATTTTGTCCCTGGCTTTGTATGAGAGACAAGTGTATATTTAAAAGCACATAATACACACACACACACACACATATATATATAAAAATCATATATATACATAAAAATATATATATTTAAGTTGCTTAAAGCAACAAATAAAAAGATGTTTTCAAAACTGACTGGCTTCCACTTACTGCCACTGTAGAGCTTTTGACTCTGACCTGTGTAAGTTTGAGTGGATATTTTAGGTAAATAGTTCTCATGCTGCTGAGTCTACTAGTTGATACTTTACATACTGAAAATATCAGTTTCCTTCTTTTGTGCTTGACTTTTATTTCTGTAGTTCTTTCATTGTGGCTGCTCTTAAGTGTGGAAAAAAAGTTTTTAAACTTGCTGTTTGTCTGCTTCAGATTGAAATCCTATGACTAGCAAAAGTGGGGGGTGATTATGTAGGTGAATTTGAAGCTGTTGGGGAGATTTTAGTTCTTGATGCGTGTATGGATATTTTTTTTATTGTTGTTTTTGTCTCTTGCAGCCAATAAGAAGAAAGAGAAAGAGCGGCCGGAGATCTCCCTCCCTTCAGACTTTGAACACACTATTCATGTGGGGTTTGATGCAGTCACAGGAGAATTCACAGTAAGTGAATCTGGAGGAAAAAGAGAACTGTGTGGTTTAGCTTATTGCTAGGAGGAGCCAGGGCCCATTAATCTTTTATATATTAATGCTGGAAGAGCTATTACCATCATCTATTTTGATCTCATTTGAAACACGTCTGCAGAGGTTACCCACTAATTCATGCTGAGAGACTGTCAAACTTGGCACATCCCAGGAGCTCAGGCTGCCAGCGAACTTTTCCTTTCTGGTTTTTTGGCTGTTGTGGTCAGCTAAACATGGTATATCTCTCCTCTTTTCCCTTCCCTCCCTCCACTAGAGCTGAAAGAGGTCTATAGCACAGTCTGTGTCCCCCAGGTGGGGCTCTGAGGGTTTTCCTTTGGGAGGCACACAGCTGAGTACAGCTAATTAGGCCAGAACATGTATGTGCTGCCCTAAGGCTAAATGTCAGATGCTTTTATGTGTGGTGGGTTTTTTCGTTCATTGACATGAAAAATGCTGTAAAGACAGAGTTGTATTTCATCATCATCGTCATCATCTTTTCATTCTTATTTTGGTTGTGAGACAGTATTTCCTAGCAGCAGAAGTTGGTTGTGAACTTGAGTTGTTTGTTTGTTTCTACCTGTCTCTAATATGCTGCTTTTTCAGGGGCTTTATTCCCCTACCCTGAATCATGTATACATGTGTGTTTTGCATGGCAGCCTCTAGACTTGCACAGGTTACCCCACACGTGCTAGTGGGGCATTACCTGAGGGCTGTATCCAGCCATCCTTTTGAACAGGGAGGATAACTTCATTGCTCATGGATCCCAATCTCTGCCACTTTGTCCATACAAACTGTTATCCCTGCTGGTGAGGAAAGGCACAAGTCTGGCTGTTCTCCAGGCATGTTTATTTTCTGGCAGAAATGATGTCCCTATAATGAAATTCTGAGCTTCTGATGTGAAGTTAACACCTCTGCTTTCCCAGCTCTGGTTACAATGGGCACCACACTGCTCTTACCAGAGAACTCTAGTGCTACCAGAAGACCCAAATGAGCGTTGCATGTCCATTGTGGTGGAGGCTATGCAGCATATGTTACTTCTGTAGTCTTTGTCTAAGTATGTGAATACCTGTGCATAAAGGATTTTGTGTTATGTTTTTTTCTTGAGGTTTTTCCCAAACTGCAGCAATTGGGTGTTCTCTCTTGGTTTTGAATTTTGGTCTGCAAAGGACCTGGGAGTCAACCAGAGACCCAAGAGCAGAGTGACATTTGCATGCCCAAGTGTGCTTTGTAACACAGGCAGTGGCTAGGGAGGCACACATTCACCACCTTTTTCTTTCCTCTCCCTTTCTGTCCTCTTTTGTCCCTATTTCCCTCACAGTACTGTGTAACTCCAAGAGCTGGGGCAGAACTGTGACAGTGGGTTTATGTTTTGTGCGTGTTAGGCCAGCCATGTGTCAACAAGGTGCCTCTTCCCACAGGGAATGCCGGAGCAATGGGCACGTCTGCTGCAGACTTCCAACATCACCAAGTCAGAGCAGAAGAAGAACCCCCAGGCAGTTCTGGACGTGTTGGAGTTTTATAACTCCAAGAAGATCTCCAACAGCCAGAAATACATGAGTTTCACAGGTACCTGGGTCTCATGTGGCTGCTTTGTCCAACTCTCTGTGGTCAGGGCATGTGGGGTTTCTTTTTGTTTAATCAACAAATAGGTCTCTCTTTTCAAGGAAAATGTGAATGAGATTCTCTGGCTGCTCAAGAACCCTTCTTTTAAAATGCTGTTCTGTTAATCTGGATGCCTAGCATAGCTGCAAAAGAGGAGGTCAGTCAACTGGCTGAGCCTCCCAAGCACATGCTTTTTCTGATGCTCACAGCCAGCATCTGGAAGGCAGATCCCAGACTGCTGGGGCTGGGATCACCCTGATGGAAGTCCTTGGAGAAAACAGGCAGCTAAATTTTGCACCAGTTACAGTTTGCAGGGCGGGTGTGGATGTTGCTTTTTGTGTACTTGGGGGATGAGAGTCTCTCTGCTCCCTTGTGCCATGGTTGAGGAATACACCTCAGCTGCCTGGATGTTTGAAAATTGCTGGCTGGATTCCTCTAAAAGTCAAAACTGCCAAGGTTTTGTGCCTCTTTCTATAGATTATCTGCCCTCTGAAGAACATCTGCGAGCACCACTCCTTTTCCTTTCAACTGCAGCTCCTTCCCTTTCTAAATATTAACCCCTACATTGGTTCTTTTAGGGGGATAGAGCCATGTCACCAGATCTGGTACTAATTAGGAAGGCTCCAAGCAGGGATAAAAGCACAAATATTCCCCATATGTGCCTGGATAGTCAGATGAGAAGCCCGTCATTGGCTTGTGAGGTCCTCTGTGCTATTCCAGGAAGTTTAGGTGGATGAGACTGAAAATTTTGCAGTTGGGAATCAGCTGCAGTGCCTCTGCTGGGGACTTAGTCCACTGATAATACTTTGTGCACATGGATGGAGGACAATATTCATTCGGGTTTTGCTCTGGGCAATTCCACCCTCCTGCTGCAGGGATTTGTTGTGACTTCTGCATTTGTCTGCATTTATTTACCCTCTGTTCCTATATCTTCCAGGGTTCAGCTGGTTCTGGGAAGCTGGAGTTAGGGAACTAAGTCTGGGAGCAGCCTTTTTTCCTGCCTTTTCTAAAGAGACTTTGTCCCGTTCTTCTTTCCCCACTGCTGCTGCATTTATAACTCATTTTTAATGGCATTATTGTCTGTCTTTCAGATAAATCAGCAGAGGATTACAATTCATCTAATACATTGGTAAGCCTCACATTGTGTCTTGAGTTTGGGGATTCAAAAAGCCACAAAAACTACTTAATTACGTGTAAACTTGTAGTTTGCTTAGTGTTTTAAAATCTGAACTATATATATTTGTATAGCCAGTACATATTTATAAAAGCAGGCAGGCTCCTTCACTTTTTTTTTCAGCTGATGGGGAATAAAGCAGACGGAAGTAGGATTTTTAGTGAATAGTGAATTAGTGAATGGAAGTTAGCGAATTAATTAGTAGAAATAGCTCTGTTTGCATAGAAGTTTGTATTTTCTATACCTAAAATTTGATAACCACTCTGCTGTCAGGTTTTATGTCTTTATAAACATCTGTGATATAATGATGTTTATTTACTAACCTGCAAGGTCTGATTTACCAAAGCTAATGTTGATTAACCAGACTAATCTCTAATAGAACAGGAAATAAGAGGTTCTCCTCCTCTCTGCTTGACCTTTACTCAGCCATTGCTGGGCCAGGCACCTCTTCTAATTGCTTTGTTAAGAGACATGATAAATTTCTGTACATGCCTGTGAGATGGAAGAAAAAAACTTCCAGTTTAAGATGGTCCATAAAACCCCATAATTCCTTCATCTCTTGCTTTCTCATGGCCATGTCATTACCTAGAACTGGCTTATTATGCTCCCATCCAAAGGCAGCTTATTCAGATCTGATAATTTAGGACTCTCTAAAAAGAAAAGAAAAATGTTTCTGACATTGTTCATTATTACACGTTATTGTGTGTCAGTCCTCAGAAGTTTCAATATCTGAGGTTGGATTTTTAAGTAAATCCTGACAAAAGAAGTAGTTACCCATCTACTGAGATAGCCTGAGGGAGGGCATTGAGTAATCTTTAATTTTGGGGATATTCAGGAAGCTGCCAGAACACAAGTTTTCCGTGTTGCTTTTAACAAGCTAGGCTTTTTGTGTTATGTCAAGTGCATTTTGACAATTATTTGTCAGGATGATGGTGACTTGAAGTGTTTTAGACTCGGCAAAATACTGTGTTGCTTTCTCCCTCTTTCTGAGGACTTTTAATACTTTTCCCCTGCCACTCTTACAGAAGTGATGATGTGCAAACAGAACTGGTCTAGTGGGTTGAGGACCTCACCAAATTTATTCTGAAATGTTTATAGTGTAAAGAATGTAATGAACTTCAAATTGAGTTTCAAATATATAAGCTTAAAAGCTACTTTCATTCCTAATCACAGTATTGCAGAAAATTCCAGGTAATTTTTAACCATATATAAAACTGTTTCTAAACAAAATAAGTTCCTATTTTTCCATAAATTTTTATGTTAGGAAGTAATTTTAAAAGATATTTGAAAAGATTTTGCCAGATTCTGATTCCAAAATCTCACATTAATGAATTAATTCTCAATCACAGTACCAGAGGCAATGTTAACTTTACCTCCTAACTTTTGGAGAAAGCATTAAGAGTTTGATGCGAACTCTAGCATTTAAAGTCTGAAATCTCCATACTGAATGGTCAGGGTTTGAAACAAGCAAAAATCCCTAAGAGACAGTATAAATAGGGACAGATATTTCCAAATTTGGGTGTCCTAAAACTTGCTGGTCAGCTGTGTGGATGTTGGGAAAGCAGTGATAGCGCCCAAGTCTCCTCAGGTCCTTGGGAAGAGGATTGCTGCACTCAGGCAGATAAGGAGGTCTGTCTGAACAGTTGTGTCAGGCAGTGCTGGACTGCAGATCCAGTTGTCATGAAGACCCAGGAACCTTGGGTTTTGAATTTTTCAGACACCGTAACTCACCAACCTGTTCTGATTCTTGTTTTTCTGCAGTTGCTCAATTGCAATCTCTGTTAGGAGCTTCATCCAGTGTTTGTGATTTTGTTTATAACATGTGATTGGGTTTTGATTTTTTGCTATTTGTGCAACTCTATGCAGAATGTGAAGGCTGTCTCTGAGAGCCCTGCAGTGCCCTCAGTGTCTGAGGATGAGGATGATGATGATGATGCAGCGCCGCCCCCTGTGATAGCTCCGCGTCCTGAACACACCAAATCTGTGAGCACAATTTCTTTTTTCAGCCTGCACTGCTGCAATCACAGTCAGACCTTGCCTGTGACTCTTTGTCCCTCTACATGGCTTGATGCTGAGCCCTTCTTGGGAGCAGGAGGGAGGCAGTGGGAGCCATTCTTCTGGCAGAGTACCTCAGTGTTGTCACTTGCCTGGTTGTGCAGGGAGGGCACAAGTCCTTGATTAGTGGTGTTAGTTGCTAACAAAGCAGCTATAGAAATGCAGCCTTGACAACAATAGAATAGAAGTGTTTAGATCTTCACCTGACTTGTGTGTTTTTCTCAACAAAATTAGATATACACCCGCTCGGTGATAGATCCTCTTCCTCCGCCTACCAGAGATGTGGCCACCTCTCCTATCTCTTCTCCCTCGGAAAACAGCACCACAGCACCCGACATGCTGGTCAGGAACACAGAGAAGCAAAAGAAAAAGCCAAAAATGTCAGATGAAGAGATACTGGAAAAATTAAGTATGTCCTTGTTCTTTAAAGAAGTTAAATTCCAGGTCCTGCTGTGTTGGTTTCTCAGAATGCCAATAAGCTAAAATGTTTCCCCATTTTGCAATCCCTTACTGAAGACAGGAGCACGCAGTCACAACACAGAATTGGGGGCAGATGTAAGGGGTGAGCTTGAGTTTAAGCTGAGCACCTGTGATACTGGGTGAAGTCCCCAGGGAGTTATAGTTCCTCAGGTTCTGCAAAACAAACCCTGAACAAATAACATCTATTTAACGATGAAGTCTGAGATCATTCCGCATCTTATTCTGTAGCTCTGAAGCATGAATGATTATATTGCCATGTTAGACATAAGGTGTCTAAAAGATGGAGAGAAAATTAATGCATCCCCAAGTTTTCCTTCCACGGTATCATGGTGTAAAGTGACTTGGTTATTTTTAAGTGCTTTAACATTTTGTGGGTAGCCAAATTGGTCGTTTTTTTCCCTGAGAAAAATTCAGCAAGTCTCTCAGTTGTGTTCTCGTGTCTTTAACATGAGAACCTTCAGTACAAGTCTTCACTCTGCTTCCTGGTGGTTTTGGGTTGTGCTGTGGCATATTTCAACAGCTGAACCAGCTCTTTCATGCAATTGATTGCTATCCTCAGCCTGGGCCAGGTTTTATTAGAGTAGAACATTTCTAATTCTTTGAACTACTAATCCTGTATTAGTTACATCCATGCCTTGTTTGTCAGTTGGCTTAAATTGTGTTAGCACCTCTGTGCTAAGGCTGGCCTCTTTGGTTTGTGGATATATTTGTCAGTATTTTAGGAATAAGAGTCCAGTAGTTGAACACTTAATCTGAGGATATAATTTTAAATTTTTTAAAAAATATTAAAATGGTATCTGAGTAACTCATATCTCTAAATAAATCCTAAATTGACTTGATGTTTTAGTAACTGGGACTGCTTACTATTGGAAAACTCAGACCCACTGTTTCAAAACTTCACTCACTCAATTAGCAGGATCTGTTACATTAAGGATTCAAGACATTTTTGTGACCAGGTAGGGCGAGCAGCAACTGTGGCAGAAAAAAAGTGGTAGTCTAATAAAAATACACCCGCTTCAGTCATGCAGAGAAATGCAAGTGCTACTTTTGGGAGTGTTGGGAAGCAGATGTACCTTCTAACACCATGTTTGCTCCAGGTGTCAGCTTCTATATGTGGGCTAGTCAGAAAAATGTTATGAAGTTTTAATCTTTAGTCTTAATCTAAGTAAAAATGTATTTTCACTGAGGGCAATGGAGCTGTACTTGTGCAGACAAGCAGCCTTTTGACATTTTAGTTTGACATGTTACTAAAATAATTAAAACTGTAAAGCAAAACTATATTTACATGTACTAAATGTGTGCTAAATGTGTGCAGAGGTTAAAAGGATGCTGCTCAATCTCTGCCTCTCAGCAGAAACACAGCATTGATGCAAATATTAACAAATACTCACCTGACTCTTTGGAAGATAGGAAACACCTCTACCCCCATTTTAGAGTTAACAGCATTAAACTGCAAAACTGGCAACTGCTGCTTGTCACCACAGCATTCTGTCCAGTCTTTGCCTTGGGGAAACATTTGCAGTCTGAGCTTGTAGCTTGTGCTAGGCTTTGAGGGAGAATTTCTGAATATTTGTACAGAAATACCAGTCCTGAGGGCAGACAGCATTGCTTCTGTAATTGTAGAGTGGGTTTTGTAAAGCCAGATTTCTCTTCCTGCCCTCCTCTCCAAACATGAGCGATATTCCCTACCTCTACCTCTGTCTGTCCTAAACCCTCTGGATTTGGCTGCTTTCCAGTGGTGTCTGAAAATAGCCTGCTCTTGCTCTGCTTGCTACTGGATTTCTTGGCTTAATGACCGTGAGCAGCTTCTTTGCCAATATACATCTGTTAAGGCTCAGCCCCAGACCCTGTGAGAGAGCACCATATGTCGCCAGCTTCGGTGACTTGCAAACACCAACTCGGATGCAGCTCTGCATCCCTTGATCCTATAACCACCCTGGTGCTGTTCGAGAAGAGACTGGCTCCCAGCTGAGCTCTAGAAATTGCTGGCTCTGGTTCCTTCACCCTAAAAATGGTGTTATTCCTGCCTGCTGTAGGGGAGTTGTCAATATCAGTTAAAGTTTGCAGCCACTTGCAGCCCCGTGCTGTGGAACACCAGGCAAAGTGCTTTTCCCTTTGAGAAAGGCAGTGACAGACTTTCTTTTGGTTTTGGGAGAATGAACTGAGATGGTCTCAGGTTGCTCTCCAAAACTGGAGGGATGCTGGTAACTGCTGCTAAAACCTGTGCTGGGTGTCAAGTTCCTGGAAGAGCAGCTGAGCATTGTTAAGGACAGGCCAGGGGAGGTTTGGCTTTGAACGGTCTCTACCTTCTCTCCTGAGTTTTGCAGCCCAGTCACTGGGTCAGTAAATGGTTGTGGTTGTGCTGGTACCAAAACATCATAAATACTTGTTTTTCTGCTAAAAATTGTCATGGTGTAAGGAGATCTTTGACTAGTTTTATAAGACTATTGCCTCCAAATTCAGAGATATTGTAGTGCAGGAGAATCTTAGGTCATCCAGGGTGTTGAAGCTGGGATTGACTTTAAATAGCAGGTTTCCAACAAATAATTGTTTTACCATGTGTTAGGCCTGTGTATTCCCATCCTGCACCTGGTAATGACTGCCAGTGAAGGATAAATGTTCTTAATGTCTGCGTCCCATCATTTCTGAAGGGCAGTTCTGATACAGGGGAGTGCTGCAGCTGGTATGTGCACAAATAACTGAAGACTTCCTTGGTATCCCTGTGCCCCTGGGTTTCTGATGGGTGGTTCATGAGACACAGCCTGCTGTGGCCAATGGAGCTGTTCTTGCAGCTAGTTCTTGTAGCTGTATGAAAAAAGGACTTGAAGAAAATCCTCTTGGTTTTTTTAATTTTTTTTTTTTTGTAGGAAGTATCGTGAGTGTGGGCGATCCAAAAAAGAAGTACACGAATTTTGAGAAGATTGGGCAGGGGTTAGTATATGTTTCTTCTCTGTCCTAAACCTTTCATTTCCTTATGCTAAGAGGAATTCACCAAAACTAGGCTGAGTTAGCTTGCTGGAAAGGCTGTTTAGGATACTTTGGGAAGTTTATTTTGTTCGGTTGTTTATTTGATTTCTTGTTTTTGGTTGTTTTGCTGGGTTCCGCATTCTCCCCAATCTTCTCCTGTTCCTGGCAAAGTGACAAGGACTGGATTTTTGTGCAATTGTGTTGTAAGAAATTATGCCATTAGGTAATCAGGTTGATAAATACAGCTACAAGCAGGGAGAGACTTGCAAGACTATCTTCAATTTACAGATTTACTTCTAAATCATCTCTTCTCAAGGCGTGTGCTGTGCTCCTCTAAGCAAGGTAGGGGGGAAGGTAGAAGCTGTGGGAGAGACTGTACTGAGGCAAAACACAGATCTGCAGTCAGGTCCATGTGCTGAGGCTCGAACTCCTGTTTTCCTCACTACAAATGCCCTATTTTTTTACTTTAGCTGATCCTGTTGCTCTGTTATCATGTTGGGCATTCTGCAAGCCAGGGTAGTGTGGTCGTGCCACTTGAAATGGAATAAACTCAGTCCTACAGATTGCTGGTTTAGCAGCAAAGGTTTGGACGACCACAGTGTCCCTTATTAGGAGCTTTTCTTTCCATAAATCCTCTGGCTTCTGCCCCAGCAACAGCCTTGTCTCAGAAATATTTCAGATGATGTTTACCACTGGAATTATTGCATGTAAAGGAATGGGATTGAGAGCACTTTAGAGAGACAGGTGTTAAGCTCTCACTTTTACTTTGAGACACTAATAAATTATTTTGTTTTTTCTTTCCTCTGTTTTGTTTAGAGCCTCAGGTACAGTTTACACAGCAATAGATGTAGCTACAGGACAGGAGGTAAGTGCTGCCAGAGTACCACAGCAGTGGATTTTGGATTGTGTCTCAAAAGTTCAAGATGATGCTACAAAATAAAGACTGTCTTTCAGGGATTCATGACATCTTATTTTTAATGAGGTCTTTATTTGCTTACTAATGATACATGGTTGAGTGGTCTAAGCAGAGAACTGGAAAAATGACTTCACAAGTTTTGATTCCTGAATAATTTCATATTTATAAAGATTCTTTCTGTGACTGTAAAGGCTAGAAGCAAATGTTTGGTCTGGGCAGTTCTTCAGTAAAAGTTTCTCTATTCTTCCTCAAGACTGCTGCCTGTCTCCATGCAAACTCTTTTATTTGCCCTCTGCTCCTTTGCTTCCTACACTTATACTACTTAACTTGCAGAGAAATAGTTCCTGTCCCACCCTTTGCCCACTTAATTTCTGCCCTTCAGTTGTGAGACAAGGAATGCCTGTCTTTTCTTTTTTCCCCTCACAGTAATAAAAAGTGACATGCTTATTGCCTGCATAATAAACTAATAGTGGTGGATATGCAGCATCTGTGGAAACCTTTATTTCTAGATGGAGAATTTTTAAAAAGATGAAAATTTGTGTGATTTCAGATATATTTATGGAGGTCTGCAACAATGTGTGTCTACTTTGCATTTGTACAGTGTAAGAGTTATTCACCAGTAAATTTCATTATTGTGCTTTTTGCTGAAATTCCTTCACCTTCTTTTTCAGTTAATTAATGAAGAATTAATACAGTTCAACTGCAGCCTTTAAGGAAAGGTTCTTATATTTATTTTGAAGCATTGAGAAATTTTATAGGAGGGGGAAGTCCTTTGATGGTTTTCTGCTTTCTTTCTGGACCCCTTGGGTGACTCCCATATGAAAATTTGAACTCTTGTATTACAACAGACTTTTAAAGCATTCTTATTACACTAGTGTCATCAGGCCCTGAATTTTTAAGTCTGCATTTGGGATTGCTGTAACTTTGTCATGTTGTTGTTTGTTCCTTTCTATGAATGCAATGAACTCAGGAGCTCAGTGCAGGGAAACACTGGGAATTTCTTTATCTGCATAAAATGCCTTCCCTCACTTCTTCATCTTTCATTCTTCTCTCTGGTCTTGTACAAAGACCAGCATGGGGTTTTTGTTTTTGTCTTCTTTTAAGTACTGTTTGGCAGCCCTTGTGAGTACTGTGGAAAACCAGCACGTCTGTCTGCTCTTGCCTTCTCATGTGTTGGGACTTTTGTATAGTCTTCCCTGCTATACTATCAAAATGCTAATTGTATCTATCTATATTGGCACTCTGTGGCTTGTTTTTTTCAATCCTTGTTTTTGTGAGTCACTGTAGTTGCTGGCTCTGGTCCATTTACCCAGGCCTCTTTCTCTGCTTGTAGCAGTTTTGTCAAGGCATAGTTTCACCTCATTCCAATTGCCTAAATATGGTACCAAAGACACTGGAGTTGTAACCTCTATGAATTATCTCTGCCTCCAGCAATGCTGAGTAGGTTTACTGATTTGAAGGCTCTTCTGAGGGCCAGGTGCTCTCACAAAGTATTGGTAGTGTGGAAACTTGAATACAAGCATTCAAAGCATGTTGTAACCTTCCTGCTTTTTGCATACATACATGCAGAGCAGGTCTCCTAAAACAAGAAGAAAGGTACTGAACCGAAGGGCTGCAGCTGACAAATCTATCCCTGTTGCTGTTCAGGCATGACTGGACATAAAGCTGACTCAAATTCATTTATTTTCAGCCTTTTATCTATCTTTATTGATGCTTCTCTCCCCCAGGTCTTGTTGTCATAAAAGAAATAGTTACTGTCTTGAAGTACTAAGCATGTTGTGTCATTCACCCATCCTACTTTAGATTTCTAGAAGCCAAAATTTGCATGGGAGCAGGGAAAAAAACACCAAAAGAAATTTCAGAAATTCCTGCAATAATGCTTTGCTTGATCTCTTTTCACTGCAGGTTGCAATCAAACAGATGAATTTGCAGCAGCAGCCCAAAAAAGAGCTGATTATTAATGAGATCCTTGTGATGAGGGAAAACAAAAACTCCAACATTGTCAACTACTTGGACAGGTATGTCATTATTTGAAGAGCTCACAAAGGGAAACACTTGTCACACTTCTTAAGGGCTTCTGGCTCAGCTTAATGCAAGTGTAGGACAACCTTGCATTGCTTGATGCATGTGGCATTGTGGGTGTGTGGGTGGCCTCATTCTCCAGAATGAGAAGAAACAGGTATCTGAACCAATGTTAATGGGATGTCTAGGCTCTCTTTAGAGATGCTGGCAGCTAAGGTCCTGTCAGGACTCCATTTTTCATCTCTCTCCTTTGCTAATTTTGACACAATAAACTTCCTGCTTATTTATTTTGTGTTAATAAAAGGGAAGAAGAAACAGTTTGAAATGTATTATTTCTATCTGCTTTCCTCTTCTTTCTCTTTCCCTTTCTCTTTTCCTTTCCCTTTTTGATTCTGCAGTGCTGGTGTTCTGTTGCCAGAGGAGCAAAACTCCTCTGCTTTCAGGGTTAGATGTAGTCTTGTTCCTGTAACTGTCCACTGAGGTTTTTGCACAGGAGCATAACAACAATGAGGGTGAATGACATGTGACAAATAACATGAGGTCAGGGCAGACCTCAACACAGCCCTGCAGTACTTTAGGGGACTTTTAAAAAGAGGGAGAGTGACTTTTAAGGCAGATAGTGATAGAATAAGAGGGAACAAAGTTTTCAGATAAAAGAGGGTAGATTTATGTTAGGTATAATGAAGAAATTCTTTACTCTGAGACACTGGCACAGGCTGCCCAGAGGAGATGTAGCTGCCCTGGCAGTGTTGAAGGCCAGGTTGAGTGAGATTCTGAGCAGCCCGGTGTAAAGGAAGGTGTCCCTGCCCATGGCAGGGGTTTGGGACAAGGTGGTCTTTAAGGTCACTCTGAACCCAAAGCATTCTATCATTCCATGATGCCGAAAGCCCAGCAGGCAAAAGCATTCCATGGTGGTTTGAATTCACTGTCAACACCACGGCGCTGCACTGTGTCAAGCAGGTGTCACTCACTTGTTAAAACTATAGCTCGTTCCATTTGAGCTGCAGCACAATTGTCAGCCTGCTGCACTCAACATCTGAATGTACTAGTTCTGATGAACCACAGGTTTGCCTTATTATATGGGAAAAGACTGCTTGGATAAGGTGAGCTGCAGACTTTAATCTTGGAAGCTTGGGTTTTTTGGAAGATACAATGAAGGGATGTGACCTAGAATCCCTGGAAATTTGAGAAAGGATTTGCACACTTTTTTGCTGTGTGTATGTCAAAATCTAATCAGCTGTTTCATTAATAGATTTCTTTTGCAGGCTTTTAATGTCTTACCCAAAAAAGGTGGTACTTATATAAACTGCAACAGTTGCTCTGCTGAAATTTTGGTGCTGTGTCCCATGCATAGCCGTAAACAGCTACTTGGTTGAGGAGACAGAAAGTCTGCTCCTGAAATTTTTATGACAGAGGTGTGTGTGCAGGGAACTGATGCTGGGCACACACCCTCTTTCCTAGAGAGAGTAGAAGAATGCTACCAGTGTAAAATGAAACAAGTGGTTGTGAGTTGCATCTGGGCTAGAACTGTTATTTTCCTTTGGCTCATTAGAGGCTTTGTTTTGGCAAAACTGTTTGAGAGACATGCTCTTCTCATTAGAGAGCATCGCTGTGTGCATGCACTTGTCTTGTCTAGCCAGTGCATTCCAGCTGCAGAATAGCTCAGTATCCTGCTGTTTTTTGTTCAAACTTTCAGCAATAAAAGCTGCTGCTTTTGTCCTCCATTTTCACTAATCTTTTTCAGAGGGATTAGCTTTTGTTCGAGTGGTACACATGGACAGAACAGAAACTGGGACGAGCATGGGGGTTCTTTTGCCGATTATGCCACTTCACCTCTGCAACTGCAGGATCCTGTTGCTGGGGAGCTGTGTCCCTCCTGCCCAGCCTAACAGGCCTGTGCTTCCCAAGTGCTGAATTAAGCTAATATTTGGATGCCACTTGCTGGCTTCTTCTGCCTCCTGCTGAAGGAGGTGGAGGAAGGATGTGCTGGCCACTCTGGGTCCTGGTTTCTGCTTTGTGGTTCTGTTACGGTGTCTCGCCTTCTGAGTCCCTAATGGGACATGCAGGGTAGTCGCTGGCATAAACCAGTGCTCTCAGCTCCTGCCCTTATGCAGGGGTTTCCTGTGCTTTGTCCTCTGTTAACTGCATGGCCTACTTGCTTGTGGTTAAGCAGCTTTTCTGCTGCAGTCGTAGTGGCCAGTGCACAGAGGTGTGCTGTGATATTTAAGACAGTGGGACGGCCTAATTCAGCTGTACTTGGGAGCTGGATTTAGAAGCAGCTGGCTCTGAAGACAGTGACACTAGTCTTCTGTACAAACAGCCACTTGTGCTGAGTTACCTGCTGGGGGTGCCAGTTCCTTTCTGCTGCATGAAAGAGGCCCTCAGAGCCCTGCTTCTAAGCTCAGCCATCTAAACACAGGCATCAGATGCCCAATGCCAGGGAAAGCAAACTCCTACCCTTTAGTTTTGTTCTGAAGAACTTCTTAACTTAATAAACCCCCCAAATAAGTGGTAGCTTCTGTTACCCCAGCCCCAAACTGTAGTAGGGATGGATGGTCAGCGAAGAAAGCCGAAGATGTATGACAGTCCTGCTACAAGAAGACACCGGTTTCTTTCCAGGCTACATTCACGTTTGCATGTAGAAAGCATGTTACTCGTGCAAAATTCTTTAGTGAATGAACTTGCACTTCTGGGCAACTCTGAATTCCATCAGTTTTATCAATAAAGAATGTATATTTGTGATATAGAGGGCTTGGTGAACAAGGTATCCTAAGGTGTCTAAGTGGAGGCTGAAGAACACCTTATGGGATCAGACATTACCTGTTCCTACAGATGGATGAAGAGAAAGGTGTAGACCATCTCCTTCTTCGAAAGATTTTCCTCAGGTTTTTCTTACTGCCAGCTTGCTTTGGAAGGTGACTGGGTGACAATATGTGACACCATGCTGTGCCTGATGTCACATCAGAGCAGCGTGTAGGTGTGTGGACTTCCTCGTGGTGTCTCTAGAACTGCTGAGAGAGTGGGTTTGACTCATGCCTACAGTGGGCAGCTCAGTGACTAAAGCTATCAAAAGAGTGGAAAGATCCTCAAGAAAGTACCACCCTGAAATGACATTCCTTTGGTGGCAGCTGTCAGGGAGATGCTGTTAATTTCACCTCCTGTGTTTTATGTCAAATCTATCAATTATTGCATTGCCAGGGTCTTGGCACATGTTTGTGGCTGCTCATGGCTCAGCTTTGGTTTCACAGTGTGGTTCTTGGCTCACTCCATCTGTCTTGGCTGCAGAGAGATACCAGCTTGCTCCCAACATGTGGAACCCAAGATTGCCATGCAAAGAGCCCATTCTGCCCTTACTCTTACAGTCAAGTGCATTTGGGCTGCAGGGAGTGCTACTAGCAATGAAGGGAAGCCTCGTGATGTCCGTGGTGGGTGATCTGTCGAGAGGGGGATGATAAAATCTGCAGAGAGCTTGATTTGCCAGAAGTGAAGAAGTAGCTATGGCATAGGGGCAGGAAGGAAGAGTGTGGGTGGAGTTGGGCTTTCAGAGCCCAACAGAAAGTAAATGACCCACAGAGTCAGCAGGAGTGCTTCTAAAAACAGTCTTGCTGCTCCTCTCTCACTCAAAGGGGCTGCTCTGCAGGTGGTACTGCTGTTGCTGGGGTCTGTAGAGCTGGGAAAACAAAATGCCAGTGCATCAACTTCTGTTCTGTAGTGCAGTTTGGGACCTCTCTGCTGCAGGAGGACAGCCCTGTGCCCTTGGGTTTTGCATCCTGGAAGAATCTGCAGATGGCACTTCCCTACATAGTCTTTAGCAACAGCAAACCAAGATGTCTACTTTGTCTCTGGAATTAAAAGGTGTCCATAACTGTAACACTGCTGTCATCCAGGTGTAGCTCAGACCATTAATACTATTTAGGGGGATTTTTTTCATCAACAACAGTGTGTCCTTTGGGGGTAAATTCCATACCTTTCTCACTCCTGTGATGTCTCACTCATCTCTGTCTACTTTTCTCGACAAGTTTAATGGCTTTTTTCTCCTTTACTATCGCTTTCTACTTAATTGTTCCCTGGTACCTATCCCAGCTTTTGCATTTGGCTCCTGGAAAATTCATTCCTCAGTAGGATGGGGATATCAGTGTTTCATAGCAAAGCAAATGTATCCTTAATGAACTCTAATGCCAGAGGAAGCTTTTAATTAGTTTCTCTGCTCTCTCACTTTTGACTCATCTGTCCACTCATTTCAAATATGAGAGGATAGGCTGAAAAGGTGGGTTTTCAAACTGATTATTCCTTCCTTGGGAATGTGTCATCCTGATGTATTTGTCATGGAGGTTTGTGTTGATGGGTCCAAAAAGGGGCAGAAATGGTTGGTGTTTTTTTGTTTTTGTGGGGGTTTTTCATTATTTTTGTTTTTTTTAAATTATTTTTTATTTGTTTTTAATGAGCTATTGCAGAAGGCTTCGTCTCCTGTCTTCTACTTTTAGACATGAGTACACACACACACAACAGAGAGGAATATCCCAAATGACTGAGAAAAGCCACTCTCATCTCAGCTGTCTACTCTTCATCTTCCTAAGGGCCTTTTTTAGAAAAGACCTGCCTTCTGGGGGTTTCTTTTTTTTATTTTAAGTCTTTAGAATTGCTTTTTCATCCAGTAAGTTCTATTCCTTTGCCTTTGTGAATGATTCTGAAATTTTCAAACCAAATCACAAACTAGTTTGATAATATGGAAAAGATTGAGGTGATTTTCAAATGCAAGATGCTTTAAAAAGAAGTGCTCTTTTGTGATTGACTGTGGGTAGCCCTCTTTTGTGTCCCCCAGAGCTGTCCCTGGGCTGAGGCAAAGCATTCACTCACTTAGGACAGCAGGATGCCAGGAATAACAAAGCAGCCCCCAGCCCACCTCTTCCAGTTCAAGAGCCCTCAGAAGCCATTGGTGTGTGCCAAATATCTGGGTTGAATGCTTGGACCCCATCCTTCAGTAGCAGCTCTTTGCCTTCTCTCCCAGCACCAGGAGCAGTTGTAAGGTCCAGTCTCCATCTTAGTCTGCATCCTTTCCATGGCAGAAAAACTCAGCCTTGTGTTTATGGACAGCAAACTCGTAGCCAGCTCTCCCGTTATATCTCTCCTCTACCTTCTTCTCTTTGGTCATTCGGGTTGTGATTGGATGCTCCCATGCGCAGAAAGCACCAGGAGTTTGTGGTTCCTCAATGCTGCTAAATGCAGCTCTTGTTTTTATTGTACTTGTAAGAGAGCTTTAAAACCCTGTGCATTCTGATTTTAAAATATGGCTTGGGCTGTTCAGTTACCTTGTAGGAGAAGAGCTGTGGGTGGTGATGGAGTACTTGGCAGGAGGCTCCCTAACGGATGTCGTGACGGAGACCTGCATGGACGAGGGACAGATCGCCGCCGTGTGCCGGGAGGTGAGGCAGCGCTCGCGCTCAGAGGGAGCTCTGGTTGGGAATGGGACATGGGCTTTCCACAACCTGTCAAAGACTCTGTGGAAATGTTTCCAGCTTCTGTACTGTGACAGTCATTCTTTTAGAGGATGGATTTCACTTGCGAGGTTGCAGCACACAATTCTAATACAAGATGTTTCACCCCAGAAGGAGGAACTAGAGTGGAAAATGGGGGTGGGATCCTCTTGGTTTTGTCTGTACCTCAAGTCTTTCAGGACTAACTTGTCCTCCTAGAGCTGCTGATCCCATTGTGACATCTCTCCGTGGCCCTGCACATACTGAATATATGAAAGGTCCTAACACACTGCACCCTTACTACCAAAAATGCACAGTCTGTTTGAGTCCTTTAGTTGGCTAATTGTGACTGGTAAATCATTTCATGCACAGTAAGATTATCTCAATTATTTTTCAGTGTCTCCAAGCCCTGGAATTCCTCCATTCAAACCAAGTTATTCACAGAGACATCAAGAGTGACAACATCCTGCTGGGAATGGATGGCTCTGTCAAACTAAGTATGCAGGGAACATTACTGCTGATGACTTATCAACCTGTGCCAGTTATCTGCTCTGGGCCAGGCACTTTAGGGAGATGGGTGTTTGAGGTGCTTGATGCTGTCATGATGAACAGGCTGTAGAAATGCTAGTGTAGATATATCTGTGGCATTTTTTTAATGGAGATTGGCAAACACAAATTCTTGTGAACCAGACTTGAAGTGAGGCTTGGGCTTCCTTTAGCTTTGGGCCATCTGTTTATGTGAACTAAAATAACAGTATTTTAATGCTACTCCAGTCTAGAAGGCTGAGTTGGAACATGTAAGGCTAGAAGTCTTTATTTATGAGCAACCTCTTCAATCTGGAAAATACTACAGGTACTCAAGGGACAGGGGAAGTGGAGGGAGAATTGAAAGCTGTGTAACTAAAAATCTTTTAATCTTACAATGCTAAACCAGACTAGAGCCTAAATGTTGCTTCCTCCTTGTGGTATCACTAGTAATGAAAATCTTGACTGTTCTGTCCCTTGGGAGCTAAGGTAGCAGTTGTGCTTGTCATTGTCCATGCAGAGAAAAGCCTGGAAACCAGTGAATTATCATCTTCCACCTATGGCTTTAACAGAATGGTGCTCCCTTTTTCTTCCTCTCAGTTCTGTTGGCTAGTGCCCAACAGGCATAAATAAATCTATTTTTGTCAGCAGCGACAGCAGATATGACTCAAAATTCTCAGAGCGACGATATGCTGAGTAAGAAGGTGGGGTCTTTTTGCAGATAATTGCTTTTTAAACTATAGCTGCGCTTTGATAGAGCCACATCTTAGGAGTATTAGCAAGGAATAACTGATGGGGGACAAAGTGCTTTGTTCTTATGGAATAACTTCTTTGAGCACAGTGTGCTGGTACTGGACTGTAGTTTAAAGTTGGAGAAATCCCTCTGGATATGATGCAGTAACCTTCTGGATCTGAGCTGCTTGTTGTCTCTGCTGGAAATTTGCCCTGTTTATGAACCATATGTCCTTTCCTGGTATTTACCCTTGATGAAAACTCAGCTAGGAATCAGTTTAATTTTCATCATTCTGCCTAAAATTAGACCTGTAATGCCGTAGCGGGTCAGAATGGGCGGTGCATCTTGCTGTGTTGATTCTGCTGGGCTCTCAAGAACAGATTTAGTTTTCTTTTGGTGAGCCAAATACAAATAAGACATAGGGTGCAGCAATCTTTGTGTGAAGGCCCTGTATCTTTCTCTCTGTTGAAAGAAAACAATCAATATAAATGTAGGTACTTTAAATTTATTCTGAGCACTCTTTGCTCTATAAAATAAATGCTGTTTGAGGGATGATATGTCTACAGGGGAAGTAATACCCTTTGGACTGAAAATATCACCAGACAGTAGAGTGTGTGGTCTGGGGTAGGTCATACTTGCATTAATTCCTGTTTTCGCATACCCAGGGATGGTCTTTAGACCATACATTACATAGCATGTAACATTTGTGCAATGCTGCAGCACAGTTGAGTGTCTTAATTCTGTGTGTGGTTATCTCCTGATCCCCATCTTTCACACAGACAAGTCAGCAGCTCCAGAATCCTCATGACCTCAGAGTCAGGTTTAGAAACTTAGCTCTAAGCACCATCTTCTGCATTAGCCACAAAACCATTCCTCCTGTCACAGTTGCAGCAACAGCACAGCAGACAGTGCAGCAGGGTAAAGCGTAGTGTAGCTCTGGTGTCAGTAAGGGTTGTTTCTGGAGAAACCTCCTGATTCCTATGTCTTTTCCCTCCACCCTATTTTAATTTTCCAGCTGACTTTGGCTTCTGTGCCCAGATCACTCCTGAGCAGAGCAAACGCAGCACCATGGTGGGCACCCCGTACTGGATGGCACCTGAGGTGGTGACACGGAAAGCTTACGGGCCCAAAGTGGATATCTGGTCTTTGGGGATCATGGCCATCGAGATGATTGAAGGAGAGCCCCCCTACCTCAATGAGAACCCTCTGAGAGTAAGTAACCCTGCTTTTCTCCTCAGGTCTTCACTAAGCTGCTGGTGAAACTGAGCTCATGTGAATCCTCTGGTGTGGTTTCATCACCTGAAGCTCCATCTAATTCAAACAATTCCGTGGTCTCCTTAGATGTCATAGTGAGAACACTGAGATAGTCTTAGTTAAAAGCCATGGTTTGTGCTGGGTAGCAGAGGTGTGGGTTCTATGAGTTAGATCATGCACACTCACTACTTTCCACTTTCTGGGATGCTAATGGAGGCAGAAGTTCTACCTTAAGGCAACAAAGCAGTCATGTCTTGAAACTTTCTACCCTGTGAATGAGAGAATTCTCCTCTGAGCAATGTGGTGAAGTGGAAGGTTCCCTGCCCATGGCAGGGGTACTGGAACTGGTGATATTTAAGGTCTCTTTCAACCCAAAACGTTCTGTGTTTCTGATTCTATTCAATTCTATTCTAGTAGGAGCTTTTTCTTATGGGCAAATTGTTCCTCCTTGCACACTCTAAGTAAAATTAGAAGAAAACCCTTCAGACAGGGTTTAAACCTCCTGATGTCTTTCCTTTGTTTAATTATTAACAAATGGAGATATGCTGTCAGCATGTAGGACATCACTGCTCTTAATATAAGCTAGGTTTATGGTTTTTTCCCCAGTTACATGGGTTGGAGTGATCTAGAAAAATTCTCTTTTTTTTTTCCCCATCTCTTGCAATGGAAGTGATTTTTGGGACAGAAGTGCAGCAGCCAAGAAGAAATATAAGAATATGTTTTATAAGAAATAAAACAGTGTTAAGTTAAAGTAATAATACTTTGGCCTCATTTAACTTAATTTATGCCAATTCCCAGGCTATCAGACTGCTCCCATGGGATGTGTTGAGTGATGTGCTCAAAAGGCCTGTATATTAACAAGTCTCTGACAGAATTCTGCTTCTTTTGAAAATTCATCCAAGAAGTTTGTCACATGAAATCATGAAATGGATGAATGTTGAGTCTCTTGATTCTCAGAGGAGGATGTGTGAATGCTTTATCCCCAAGCAGTAGCAAAACTGCTTTTTTCTGCAGGATGTTAGAAGATGCCAAAGGGTCTGTTGGTCATCTTTTGTAAGAAGCCAGCTGCATCTTAAATATGTTGATGCTTTAGGCCTCGTGCACTCAGGCAAAGTACCAACAGAAAAAAAATCTATTTAGTCAGGGTTACCTTCCCATGAGGATATAGTCACTAGAGGAGTAATGGTAGAGTCCTGCCAATTAACTTCCCTATGTAAACAGGGTCTGTTTTGTCCCTGTTTCAGGAATGTTGTTTTTGTCCTTGTAATCCCTTGAGAGGGCTATAGGATCCAAACCCAGATTACGAGGGTAAAACAATAAAGGATTGGTAAAACAATAAAGGGCTGGCAACTATTCTGTTTGCTGAAATGTAGGCATTGATTAGTGACCCTGATAAGGTGGGGTTTTTTCCTCCCCATTGAACTGTGGGGAGGGAGTGGAGAAATGGGTGTCTCTAATCCAGAGATGGGATCTAATCTTCATAACCTCCTGTTCCCTGGGTGCTTGTTTTTGTCTCAGGCCCTGTATCTCATTGCTACTAATGGGACTCCGGAACTGCAGAATCCAGAAAAGCTTTCATCCATATTCCGAGACTTCTTAAATCGCTGTCTTGAAATGGACGTGGAAAAGAGAGGTTCTGCAAAAGAGCTGCTACAGGTAGGTGATGGGGAACAAGACTGGAATAGTGTAATCACACAATCCTGAGTGAGGCCAGGCTTAGTGATGAGATCTTTGAGGTCTTAAATACTGCATCAGCTGAAAGCACAAGCACAGCTAAGGTAACCTCTCAGGAGAAAAAAAGCAACTGAAAACAACAGCTCTCAAACATAAATCTATAATAAAGTGATAACAGATTGCTCCCTTTCCAGTACTGGCTACTGGCAGCAGCTGTGCAGCATGTTCTGTGTCCAACCTCAAAAAATAGCTGCGTCCCAGCCTGCCAGATGCTGAGCCCCCTGATTCCCACGGTTTCTTCACGTGGCTGGCCATGACACCTGTGTGTTGTCACAGTCTTATCATGCTTGTTCCAATGTGGACAGCAGGAAGGCTTCTAGCTATCTGATATTCTGGCTGTCTCCTTCATCGTGAAGGAATCATGAAGCTCTTTGAAATATTCATGGCTTCAATTAACTGGAGCAGTTTACTTTTACCACATTTTACCTGATATGACTACTTACAGAGATGATGGAACAAAGCTTGTGAGATATCTTAATTATAGAGTGCATTGGATTGGAAGAGACCTTAAAGATCCTCTGGTTCCATCCACTTCCTCTGACATGGGCAGGAACACCTTTCACTAGACCAGGCTGCTCAAAGCTCCATCCAACCTGGTCTTGAACAATTCCAGGGATGGGACATCCACAGCTTCTTGGGCAACTTCACCACCCTATAATTAGATATTTCACTGAAAACCTGGTGTCTTAGTCTCAACTCCCAGTGAAAGTTGAGGCTCAAGCTGCCAGGATTTTTACCAATATGGATGAGAGGAGTGGTTTGTGTGTTCTTTTTGTCAAGGTTTGCCATGAGGGTGGAATATGTAAGTCTTTGTAAAATATATCTGTAATCAGGAACACTCAGACCTTATGTATGAGATGGTTTCCATTTTTTGTTTTCCTTTCTCTCCACTAATTTGTGTACTAGGCTCAGACTTGGATGTGTTGCTGCCTTCCAGACTATAAGGAAACATAAATGTCTGACAGTATGCTAGTAGTTGAAAGATTGTTTTTTCTTCTGGACTTTTCATTCCTAAAATATCAGAAAGAAGTTATGTCCTGTTCCTTGGAGCAGGAGAACATTCTGGCTGTAACACTTCAACCTGTTCTTAACTGCCTTGTGGCTTCTGAATTTTTACGTTTTGTTTTTTTTTTTTTTCAATCCTGAAGCATATTGCCTTGAGGGATTGATCCCTTCTCATGCTCAGAAGTCTTGCAGGTTATAGTTGCTTTTTGTTTTCAGAACAGCTTGTGGACTTTTGATAATCAATATTGTTATATTTAAAGAAGAGCACCTGTATAGGAGGCTGAATGGTGCTGTGTTGCAAGCCCTGTGCTGCTCTCCTAAATTTCAGCTGCTTTGCAAATTTATGTTATCTTGTAGAAAGCAAAGGCAATGCTTTCTCCAGACCTGTGACAACAGGGAAATGAGAGGTGATTCCTGCATGGAGCCCTGTGCCTTGTGTCTGAATCACACAGGTTGTTGTTTTTTAATACACCTTTTTTCACACTGGATTTCACTATAGATTTTGCAACTTTTAATTCCCACGGGGAATTCGCTGAGTTTTGTTTGATCTCGAGCATATGCAAACATTAGATAATTTAGCATGTGTTGGGTGCAAATCTCTTAATTACTTCAGGCAATCCCCAGAATTTTGTCACAATAACAGAGCTTCTGGATTCACGTGTTCAGAGACTAGAGTAGGTTCTTAGATTTCATATGGGTTTAGGTGAAAATGTTTAGAATAGCCACTTCTGGGGCATGTTCTGAAAAATCTAACCATTTTTTCTTTTGTTTTGTCCTAGCACCAGTTCTTGAAAATTGCAAAACCTCTATCCAGTCTCACTCCTCTGATTATTGCAGCTAAAGAGGCAGCCAAGAACAACCATTAAAGTGGTGAAATCAACAGAGTCATCATGTCAAGACTTTTAGATGTTCATTTCAGAGACTGAATTATTTGCCCTTCTCCCCTTCTGCTCCTTCTTCACAGAGGTGTTCTTAAAACTTTGACTTGCCCTGAAGGGTGGCAGGGGCATTGTTCACTGTACGTGGAAGGGCACACAACACGGACGTGGCTGATCTTACAGGGTGAACTGTACTTCCATCCTCGTGATGGGGACGAGAGGGGAAGAATATTTTGTATGGGTGAGAAGATCTTTCCGAGAGCGTCTGAACCTGACCTACAAGTAGTGAAGCCAGTTTGTTCTCATATTTCTTATGGTGTTTATTTTTAAAAATAATGTGGAGCCTTAGACCATGTTTATCTTAATAAATTAAATCTTTTGCTGGCTGCATTTTGCCTGCTTCTGCCAAGCTGCTATTACACCACAGAGGCTGCTCTGTGCTTTGGATGACTCGAGGAGGGAAGGAAGCAGGCAGCAGCAATGTGAACAGCTGTCAGCTGAGAGGGGAACGAGGAGGTGAAGGTGCATCCCTCCTGCAGCACTGCTGGATGCTTTGAGGAAGCATGGACAAAGCCTCTGTGTGCTTCCTGCAGCCACTGAAGAACCTAATTCATGGATGGTCTCTTTGCCAAATTGTATGAACTGCCCCCTAGTCCTCCCTTCCTCCTTTAGTGGCAACTCTACTAGTTAAACAAATCTTGAATATTTTTTTGTTGTTCTAGGAAATAAATCACAGGAACAAAATGACAGGGAACTCTTAGGGTTATTTTATCAGTGCTGTGAGGCTTTTTAGAGATGCTGTCCTGTGTGATTAACAAACAGAGCAATTACTATTGTAAAGACAAGATTTGCCCACAAAATATGTTCAAAACTTGTTTCTTAGAGCAAGTCCAATGGAAAACAAACTGGTAATGGATGCTGCTTTCTCCATGGAGATGTGGGGACAAATTTTTTTTAAATGATGGTTTCTTTATGCTACTGATTCCTTGGGTTGCCAATATTCTGTAAAACAACAGGAAACCTGGAACTACTAGAAGAGGGATTGGTTGTAAACACTGGGCTTATGTTCAACTGTATACTGATTTTTAATAAAGTGACTGCTGCATTTCTTAACTTGGGGCTAGAGGAGAACTGGAGAATTCACTGTCACCAGACAAGTCTGTCATTGCTTGTATGGTCACCAGGTTCTTGAATGTGTTGGATGAAGTAATTTAACCTTGTTTCTTACCCCTTCTGCAGCCCTTTGGGGACAGTGAGTGTTTCCCAAGGGCGTAACTTTACACGTGGAGAAAATCGATACAAAAAATGTGCATTGTAACTGTGAGAGCTGCTTTCTCTGTACTGCTTTGGTCACATATGGGGTGGCCTCAAACCTATTCTGGAGCAACCTTTCATCTCTCTGTTGGACAGAAATTCATTCCATCTTGTTGAGACCTGCTGCTGGCTCAGCCCTTTCCTCCCTGGACCTGGGCTTTGATTAAATACTGATCGGCTCCACAGTTTATGACAGCTCTTACACCAGCTTTAGTGGGTATAGGTGCTTTGTGAGTTCTTTTGTTTCTGAGGGGCCTTCTCCCATCCTTTGTGCTGCAGGGTGGTCACTGTTTGACAGAAGGCTGAGGGGTGAAATCTGTTGCCCAAATTTGCAACCTCTCTCCCTTTGTGTATGTATATTTAATCTCCCAGAATTGTTAGGTTTCCTCTCACGAAGTTTATATCCAAGGATGAGTTCCTTGGGCAAAACAGTACAGCTGCCAACCTGCAAAGGGATATGATCTATTGATGAGCTCATCTGCTTGGAGCTTAGATGGAGATAGTAGAATAGAAGGGCCACTATGTTTAAATAATTCTCTTTGAAAAGGACTTTGTATTCCCTCTGGAAGACTCAGGATGGCATATGTGGGAGGAATAGAATTAGTGTCTAGCTCTCTCCTGATCTGAAATCTCATTTGACTGTCAGATTTGGCAATTGACTATTTTTCAGACAAGGCAGGGTTCAATTTGATCCACAATGTGTTTAACGTCTCTGACTTCTCTTTGATTCCCTTCCTCACTCCCTTCTCTGCATCTCATTGAGATGAGAACCTTAATGCAGATGTGCCCTATCTGTGAGCATGCACGGGAGTTTATTTTCCTGCAGCAAGATTTCTGCTAAACTTCCCCAAACAAGATAGAAAAGGTTATTTTTATGTCTTCTAAGCTGCTCTTCTGGATCCTCTATTGCATAATGGAAAGGGATCTACAGTGACTATTTATCCCTCCTTTTACAATGTGCTTCTGTCTCGTTGGCTTCTACATTGATTTGGTCCTGCCTGGTTTCTGTTGGCTGCTGGAGAGGAGTGTTGCCAAAAGCCTTTCCTTCTGCTGGGAAAAGCTGCAAGACTGTGCCTATGCTTGTGTGTCATCTTGTCCCAGGCTGTTTTGTCCCCACTCGTGATGGGTGGGTGGGAAAAGGAGGCGATTGCTACAGTGTGCCTGGACCTAGTTTCCAGTTACCAGACACATCATATTTTTGTGTTCTCAGAAAATCCTTTGAAAGAAAGTGTAATTAGCCTAATCTTAGGAGAATGGGTTTATTTTGTTGTTCTGAAATGCATTTTTTCCTCTCTTTTTGTGTGTGAGTTGCCCGGAACCAGCTCCTCCGTTAGCTTTTAAAGAGCCCTTCCTGTCTACGACACAATCCTGTCTACAGAGGGCTCTTAAATAGTGACTTTCTGACTTAAAATCTAATATTCAGGGCTTATTTTTCCGAGAATATCTTGTCCCTGCTGTTACTTGAAAATGACTACAACTTGACAACTTTTTTGGTGCCTTTTTTTCCCTCCTAACTTTCTCTTATTAACTGATTTCCCCGAGTTGAAACCATTTTTAATCACAGCCCTTAATTATTAATTTGCCTGCTAATATTAAAGTTCTCTCCTCCATATTAGAACATTAAGTTTCAGAAAACTTTCAGAAAATTGATTTTTTTTGAGGGATCTGAAGCAATGTTATACCAGAAAAAATTTAATATCCTACAGTTTACAGTGGGCTTGGTGGAGGGAGAGGCTAAAAGACATCTTATTTTCTTAAACACAGAGATTATCTTATTTAAGTATCAACTGGTATCTTCAATAGGACTTTTCCTGTGTTTTAAGAGTGGGCATTGATTTGCATTACTTTAGCTATTAGGATTTTTAGGGTTTAGAGGTTTTTCTAAACAAACCAAATTTTATTTGGGTCCAAGAGTTTTTGCATGAGAGGGGTATGGAGACCATGTGAGAAGAAGGTGGGTTATCTGGGCAACACTGTCAGGCACATGATGTGATTCTTGGAGTTGTTCTGTTCAGGGCAAGGAGCTGGACTCAATGATCCTTGCAGATCCCTTCCAACTCAGGATATTTCGTGATTCTGCGAGGCTGAGAGTGAAGAGCCAGGATAGGGATGGGAGGGTACAGCAGAACTGGCTGGCTGCAGCAGCAGTAGCACACCTTTAGCCATCCCTGAAATGTCTTCATTTAGTGGATGTGTGTTTAAAGAACAAAAATCTGACTGATTTGTTGCTACAGGCACTTCTCCAGACAGGCATTATGCTCCTACTAAACTGCCTTCCCCTTTTAAACAAAAGGGGTGCAGGGATTTCTCCAGGAAAGGAGGCTCCTTGAGAAAGGAGGTTTCCATGGAGACACTTACTTGACTTAAACGATCTGGCTAAGGCTTGAGAAGAGGTTTGGTGGGTAGACACCACATCGACACAAAAGACACTGTTTTGCAAAGCAGCTGGAGTTGCTGCAGTGTTTTGTTGCCAACTTGATGCCCCTTTTCAGGGGGTTGGTTTTGAAAAAGTACTGAGAATGTTGCTTGGTCAGGACTGTGAGGTGTATAAAAGTCTGGCTCTTCTTAGCTGAGATCTCTGTTAGTATCCCGATGTATGTCTCAAAATGCTGCAGGTCTGTGTAAGTAGGGCACGTTTGCAGCAGAGTTCTGTGCGAGAAAGGATTGCAATGGCCTGTAGTCGGTGCCTCCTTTCTTAGAGCCCACCCTTCTTGGCTGACAGCAAAATTGGTTCTGACCAGTTTCCAAGAATAATACTTGTTTGAAGCCCACTCTTAATTAAGAGCATAGTCTATTTATCTGGTGAATGACAACATCCTCAGTGTTGAAATTGTTATAGGTGAACTGATTATCTGCTGATTATAAAGCGGTAAGACTTTTTAATGGCTTCTTATTTCTGCTGTAATAGAGAGCCTGTAAATGTATTTTGGGGTCATAAGCCCAACTGGATGGAGCATATGTATAATGAATGCTGTAGCATCTCATAGTTTGTTGCTAATGACAACTCACGGTGGCAAAGGTGGGATCTTGGAGAAGCAGCTGCCAGCTTTGATGGGGAATGTCCAACAGCAACAAAGCTGCTGTACAGATGGGAGCTGGACAGAAACTTGCTGCCAGAGTGGAGCCTACAGTGAGTGGTGGGAGACAGAGTTGGTCCAAAGGGTAGGATGCAGCAAAGGTTAAAACTTCAGTTACACAGTTGCTGAGGAAATTCAGGGACTGCCCCAGCAGCCTGCTGCATCTCAAGGCAGCAGCATCTCTGAAGGAGGAGAGCAGAAAGGAGTCTGGGAAGGGAAAAGGCGCTGAAAGTAGAGAGAGGAGTAGCAATATGGCTCTGAGTCACAGCCTGTGCTAAGAGCTGGAGCTAATCCAGGAGGTTCACAAAAAATTACAAAATTCAGCTGAAAAGGAAAAGTGGAGCTAGAATGGAGGAGATGGCCTTGATGTGCCAAGGAACTGAAGAGAGGGGCCAGATTTCCTGAATGTGTGAAACAGCAAAAACTAATTTAACACAGGCTTCTGTGGATGACAAGCAGCTCGTTCCCTCCTGCCTTGCAGCACCAGTGTCTTGTCTTTGAGATCAGCTCTGCTTTGGGATCACGTCAGCAGCTGCCCAACTTCAGTCTCATGTTTGTAAAGAAGGCTTTTTGCTCTGCACCTACTGATTTCTGACTGCAGCTCTCCACTCTTGGTAGATGTCTTTGTGTTGTGTCCCACCTGGAAATACAGGGGCTGTTGCAGTTTTAAAATCTGCTGGATAATGTACTTCTCCCCATGCTGCTTTGGCATAACTCCTGTACTGTACTGCTGGGTTTGTTTAATGTGCCAGGTCAGCTCAGACATTTTAAAAATAAAAACTGAAACCTTAAATAAAACCTTGATTAATTATTTGGTTCTGCTTGACTTGCTGTTTCAATGATCCTTGCAGTGATAGTAGAAATGAAGGAGGATGCTTGAAGAAGGGCTTGTGTTTCTCTGACCTATTTTAGATTATTCAGATCTTATTTGATTGAGCAAAGTGACTACACTAAAAGCTGTTGCAGAAAGTGTGACTTTCACCATTTATTTTAACTGGTTTGACATAGTTAATGTTCTGGAAAGCAGGCTGGAAGCAGGATCTAGACCACAGCTTGAAGAAGAGAAGGAAGCTTGGATGGTTGTTTTCTCTGCAGATAAAGTTTGGTGTCTGAGGCTCCTGATATGGAGGAGGAAATCAGGGGTGGGTTTAAGATGAGTATGTGCACCCACCTTCCCAGAATCACTTTTTCTTTCAGGATTGGTATGATAAGGCTGATGACAAGAGCAGGAGTTCATCATACTGCCTGGGTATCATCTGACAAGGGCGTTTTACTCTGAAGTCTGAGAAGCCCAACCCGGTGCTGAGAGGACTTTCTGAGCACCTGTGGAATGTGGGTGTGAGGAGCAGTGAGAAGCTCTGGCAAGCTCCTGTGAGTCAGCTAGGTGCTGAGATGGGTTTTAGCGAAGTCACTGAGAGAAAACGGAACACCTTGAATGGGGGACTTGACCAACCAGAATAAGGAAATCAATGTTACTCCATAAAATCCCCTCTGCCTAGAAGAGATGCTGGAGCTGAAGATTCTTTCCATCAGGAAAGCCAGAGGAGATACCCATTGAGTTATGTTTTACAAAGATGAGGGCCCCATCGTTTGAGCAAGAGAAACGCTGCAGCTGAACTGGCAGGGATTTGAGGTAATTCTCTTTGCCGTGATGTGGTAGCATCCTGTGTTGGATGTCCTTGTTCCATTAGAGAAAAGAAATCTGACTGCACCAACACCACCTCCCCTTCACAGAATCGTAGAATGGCTTGGGTTGGAATGACCTAAAAGATCCTCTGGTTCCAACCCCCTGCCTTGGGCAGGGACACCTTCCACTAGACCAGGTTACCCAGAACCCCATCCAACTTGGCCTAGAACACTTCCAGAATGGAACATCCACAGCTTCTCTGGACAACCTCTGCCAGTGCCTCACCACCCTCACAGTGAAGAATTTCATCCTAATATTCAATCTAAAACTTCTCTCATTTTGAAGCCATTTCCCATTGTCCTGTCATTCCATGCCCTTGACCAAAGTCCCTCTCTGGCTCTCTTACAGCCCCTTTAGGTACCAGAAGGTGCTCTAAAGTCTTCCACAGAGTCTTCTGTTCTCCAGGCTGAACTGAAACTCTTCCTCCAAAACTTCACAAAGCAGCGTACCAGGCAAACTTTGATCATGTAAATCCCCCCAAAATGCCCCTATAAATACTACTGGATTCGTGTCTGGTGGCTCTACCCCCTTCCCCATAAAGGAGGCATAGTGTATTCTAGCTAGATGCCATTATCTATGATTTCTGGGGACAAATTTCTGTCTTGGAAGCTTCTTCCCTTGAAATAAGCTTAGTTGTGTTGCCCAGCAGTGGATGGGGATGGGAGATGTTGGACAATGAATGATGGCAAGGCTTTAAAAAATGGTTGATGTTGATTTCAGTGAAGTATAACTTGTCTGAGGACTCCTCAGAGCCCAAGGCAGCTTTCCTTGAAGGTAAATTAATAATCAAATTTAAAAGGAAATAATTATTGAAGGCTTAGTTCATAGCTTAATAGTTGGGGGGTCAGATAAATAATTCTGGAGATGGACACAAGGTGACGATGATCAGCTGATCTATGGAGGGCGAGCAGAGGAGGAAAGACAGCAAAAAGCTTTGGGGAAAACACAACTTCGGGTCTGAGCCAGACACAGCAAACTGGCAGCTAAGTCCTAGTGGGAGCAGTTATCCTCTGTGTAACTGCACGATATTAGTTTATTTAGGAA